CATGGTACTGGGGCTCTGAACAAATATTAGGACTAGGATCTAATTTTATTTATTATTGAATTTAGGGGATCGTGAAAAAAGTCGATATCATTAACTGAGGACAACTTATTTAAAGTGATCAAGATCTTAATAAGTGGGGAAGTTGTGTTGTTAGCTGCAAAAATAGTATTATTTTGCCTTAGCTTAACAAATGGTACCTTAAGCTTAATTTCTTGAAGTAATTCGGAAGAGTATAACAAGTTGTGTAAAATTTTGAAGACAAAAATTGTGGAGACAATGTACCGTCGGGTTTCTAACCTCGTTATATCTAAGCCGAAAGTACTATTTAAGTAATTAAGCTGGGTACCGTAAGAGATCAAATGTGGATAATTTTGGGTTGACCTAAAAAACATTACTCGGATGAACTTTTTCTGCACTTTTTCGATCATGTCTGAGTATTTGAGAGTTTAAGGAGACCAGATACATGCAGCATACTCAAGCTTGGATCTAATAAACGCATTATATAAGGTTAGCATTGTCTGTATATTCGTGAAATTGAGTGTATGCCTGATAACGAAACCAAGAAGTTTGTAACACTCATTTGTTAGGTATTCAATGTGTAAGTTAAAGTTAAGGTTGGTATTGAAAAACACGCCCATATTCTTAAAGTTCTTTAAAAAAATGTTACCTAAACTAAAGGGCTCAAAGTTGAATGTTAAATTTATATTCTAATTGCACTGTCGCGCCAGTAACTTTATTAAACATGTAATTGTACAGTCTTTGGGAGGATTTCAATGCTAAGTTGAAGTGTAGATAAGAATGCAAAGCAATAATGAGAATGCTGGTAATTGTTATCACGGAATATACGTAAATGTACATGGTTTGGGAGTTGTCCATCTAATACCTACATGAGATAAATTGGGTTGTAGGACAATTCGCACCAAAGATATTTCGCACCAGGACAATTCGCACCCGAACAATTCGCACCCGGACATTTCGCACCAAGGAAAATTCGCAGTAAAGATATTTCGCACCCGGAAGTTTCGCTCCCGGACAATTCGCACCCGAATAATTCGCACCCGAATAATTCGCACCGGAATAATTCGCACCAGAATTTCGCTCCCCTGAGAGGGTATTTTGTGTATGGTTGACTTTTAACATAGAAAGTCGGCTGAAGTATTAAATTAACTCAGAGCTTGAAATCTCCAATATTACTCGCCAATATCACGTTTTATTAATTTGTGCATGTAATAGACGTATACCTACATTTAAAATTTGGACACTTTCAATATTAAGGTATAATTTGGAATCGTGACGTCCATTTTGTGTTCAAACTCTAAATGGGGTAATTTATTAATATTGAATAAAAGTTCTCTAAACCGTTCCCATACAATTTAATAAAACGAAGTGATACACTACATGTTTCGACCAACGGTCATCTTCAGGTGATCTACAAGATGGTGGAGATAATTGAAGAGAGCTTTAAAACTGGAAACCATCTGCACTTCCAAAATCAGTGCTCGGTTTAGCTAATCTTACCTTGTCATCGTTGACCCAGATCCTGGCATTGCATGTTAAACTAAGAGCCGATGGATCCTTCTTTGCTCTTCTCGCTAGACACAGCCATGATGAGCAGTTTTGGAGTTTAAGGTTCTTAGCAAAGAGGTACATGTATCCTTCATAGATTATGTATCTCTTTCCCCTTTTCGTTGTACCGAACTCCATTGTTACGCGCCCCGTATAGTTTGCACTGCCTAAATCTCATATCCATTATCAACTTTTTGTAATAAATCAAATTTCAACTTTTAACCTTAGGGACAAGTCCATTTTTGATGATGTTTTCCTTGATTTTGACATTTTAGTGGCACTTAAATATTTATGTTGGTTAAACAATAGCCATACAATTTGTAGAGGAATAATTTTTTGAATAGTATTTATGAGGCAAGAATTCATACGTACAATCCTTTTTCCTTTTTAAATGGAATGGACCATATCAAAGCAGTAGAGATTTTAGGTCACTTTAATAGCATCCATATCACTCAAAATCTGGAATTTAGTACTTATTTTATTGTAATCTCCGTATTAAACACGAGAACACTTGCTAAAGGTACCATGAATGAAAATTTATTTTAAAAAAAAACAAAAAAAAAAGGTAAAAAGACACTCATCTGTGATGTAAATTGTCCATGCACTCATGTTCACAAGTAGACGGATGCTGCTAAACGCGGGTATCGGTCTATCAGCAAAACTGTCACCTGACATTTCTTAAACCTATTTACCCAGTTTTATTGTACCAATTCACAATCAAGGTTTTTTTCATTTGGAAACCTTTTAGCACGTACAAATAATATTGCAATAGGAATATAAAAGTCTAAATAAAATTTTAACAATTATAGCTGCAAGTTAAGTTTCCTAGGTCTCTAACCTATTCGATGTCGTATGTATTGTCTTAAAACAATCTCAAGTAAATTATAATCATATTTGAACGTAAAACAAATAGATTCTTGAGAGTTTCCGTAAAATTAAAGAGATAAGAACTGTAAAGTAACGAAAAAAGCAAAAAATGTTGATAAATATCGTGAAAAAAATTGATCTTGCTATAAATTATATGGCTATTATTTAAATAATATACTGAAATTGTGAAGATCCATGACTCTCAATGGGGTGCTTAAGAAGCTTCGGAAAAATAACACCCAAATCTACCCATTTATTATTATAACAATTTTGATGGGGAGATTTTGGAGTTATTTCTCCGAAGCTAAATCATATACGGTGGTGCGTTAGAAACGATACATAGCTATTTCCGTAAATTAAAATAATTTTGAAAAAACGCTGTGGCACGTCAAATTAATCATGGAAGGAAACAGTGTCTAAAATAAAACTTGGTCACTAATGTCTTTGTCTCGCATCGCTGACAGTGCAACCCTTAAAATCTTAAATGATGCATCGTTGGTAAAGTCGCCCATCTCTGAATTCGGATATGTAATTTTTTTGGTTTAGTTGTTTCATTTCCAGCGCATTCGACGTTGCAGGTACAAGTTTTCTCTTTTTTATACCACTTGCAACTACATAATTTTGACGCAGGATCGCATTAGCTTCTATTACATAGTGATCGGCCCGACATCCTTCCAATGACATAAACAACAGCGCGCCCTCAACTTACTTTTAAAATATTTCGAAAATATCAAATCTAAAAAATTATACTCTCACCAAATTCAGAGAAGGAAAGCCTTTCCAATGATGTCCTATCTTCCTTGTTGCGCAATTACCAATGCTAAGGGTTTTGCTTTAGTACTAGGTATGCCTAACAAATTAAAAAGGATGTATATAGGTACTTAATAATTACAAACAATTAAAAGAAAAAATCATCAATATCGACCTGTTCCTAAAACGTTTCAAGATTTTTAAAAGCTTTACTGTTTTGATTATTAACAATCTCTTAAAAAATTGCCAGAATTTTTCCATGTATCTCTTCAAACTATAAAATAAATAAGAGTAAGAAAAGCAAAAAGAAACTTTTAAGTTCATTCACTACCATGGTTGTAGCAAAGATAACGCAAAAAAAATAAGCAGTTAGTGTAACTTTACTCAGTCACCAATAATCAACATAATAGCCATATGTGGTCAAAGAAACGTAAAACTGGTTCTAAGAAAACTGGAAACTTACCTTTTCTGAACACCACCAAGACACTACCACCAGAAATAAAATTTTTTTAAATTAAAAAATAAGTATACACAAAATTAAAACCCGTGCTCAGATAAATTTTAAAATACCACTCTGTCAAACGTTCAAGAATGAGGATACTATACAGGCGTTAAAGTTCTAATTAGTTGTGGTCATACGTACTTAAACCTGATTTTTCGGACCTAATTACTTTTACCTTGTAATAAACCTTATTCATCTTCTAGAAATAATAGAAGGGATGCCATTACGATATTTCTCTTATTGTTTCTTTATGAAGTGCAATTTGTGTTATCGGGGTCTTTTCAAATTTACCTTTAATTATAATCTTAATTACTTATCCAAATTTAGTGCCATCTATGAAATGCATTGTTCTATTGTCATTTATACATACTCGTTTTGTCTAAAATAAATTTAATTCAGATCCTTTGTCACCCTCTTCAACTAAAGAAATAAAGAACAATTTTTTATGTGTCTTCATTAAGAAATCTTTATGTAAGGGAGCGTTAAAATTACTTCCTTTTTCTATTTTCATCTTGATCTTATAATGTAAATATTTTTAACTTTAGACTGATCACTTTGTTTGTGTACGGTATTATATGTTGATTCTGTTTTAATATTAATAAGAGCGTCTCAAATACACATAATATTGTAGATATACTATAACTAGGTATAACTATTTGGTATTTAATTACTCCACAAAAGACGTTTCAGTTACCTATTCTTATTTTCTCAAAACGAAAGCGCAGTAGATAAAAATTATGTCTTCTTAAATTACAGGATTTAACTATATCAGACTCTCCATACAACTTAAAAAAAACCCAGCGTGATTATATTTAAGAAATGGAAATACTTAAGAATCGCGATGGGTTGAAAATGAAAGACCAAATAACTATTATTTGAAACATTTTTCCATGAAGTAGATGTTTACCAAGATGTGCACTACTACATACATTCTGTAAAGGCAATCGTCTATTAGCTTCTTAAAAATATTTAATTAATAAACCAAAGATTTACAGAATTATCCGGGTGTGAATTATTCGGGAGCGAATTTTTCGAGTGCGAATTGTCCGGGCGCGAATTGTCCGCACACGGATAAATTGCTGGCGTTAGTATATTGCTCTACAACTTGGACCGTGTTCACTCTAAAAAATTGAAAAACAGTTAAAGATTATGGATTGTGGTATACTCACCAATGAGTTAAGAAGTAAGGGCCACGAATTGTACCAAAGTTTGACTGACTAAAAGCGGATCATGCATGTAATAAAAGTAACCCAAAGAGAATTCTTGCAATGGGTGTCTTTAAATTATCGATACTAATCAATTCTTTTCGTTTCAGGTGCTCAAATCTGTCCATAGATGGTTACCAATCTCTCGCATCATTCGGTTATCTCAAAACGACTGAAAACTATTGAAGTAAACATATTGCGCTGTGATAATGGATATAACGGATGCTTTCCGTAGTGAGGACCTCACAAAGACGGACTTTTTCGATTTCGTAGTGACTCCCGACTCTAACGATTCGCAATCGTTGCAACAATTTTCGAAACAAATGCGAACCGTGAACGCGTTTTTAGGTAACGGATCGGACGAAGGTAAAGAAACGAATAACAACATGTTAACCGCCGAACTTACGGCTGTGCCAACTATAAGCTCAGAGGGTGTAACTAATTACGATCCGAATTTTTGGAGCGACAAAGAAACCGTTCGAATCGAAACCGCCATTTTAGAAGATTTAAATAAGTACTGTTGGAGTACCGACCATGAATCAAACGGAGTGGTAGCGACAAATCCTAGTAAACTATTAAATAATACAGACGGGCATATTTACACATTAACAGTATTAAATGGTATCGACCAGAATGCAACGTGGTACCGTCCACCTTTACCCCCTATCGTTAAGGAGGAGGATGGCTCGCTTTCGAGTCCAAGCTCCATGGAACACCTACAGACAGGTTTAGATATAGACTCGATATTAAATATAATCCCCCATCAAAATGGTTTTAACAATATTTATAGTGATAGTGCGCAAGCGCCGAATACGGATGGTTTGATTAAGTCCGAAACGTACACGTATGAGGATAGCGGATTTGCTGACAACAAGGATGAGTTGGGAAACTCGCTTATTATCGAAACTCCACTATTGGAGGCGCACGAAAACTTTAACAATAACAATAACGACTGGAAGGTTAGTAATAACAATAGCAGTAGTAGTACGAATGGCTCGCCGGACTCGCTTCTTCGTAGTGCCCTTCAAGGGAAGACATTCGTTCGTTACAATGGCGCGTCGAAAGCCTCAAAATCGGAGACAAATAGTGAGTTGAGGCGGGTTCTGTCCACACCTCCCGTGAAACCGGAAGGAATATACATTAAGGAAGATCCAGATAAACCCCCAACAATAGTGTCTGGTGGCAACTCCAATGGAAACGTGGTTTTCGACGAGCACCCCGAAAATCACACCAACTCTCACATGGACGATCTCCTTCTCTCGCACCTGGACGCATCCTACCCCGAGGACTATGAAAAATTGAAGCGAATCGCAAACGAAGTGGCAGAATCCGTCAACCAGTATTGCTTAATTAACAATAACACCATCGAGCACGTTTACAGCGTCAGTCCGGACCAAATCGGCATTTTAAGCAATCTCAGTTCGCCGATCTCAATCACAGCACCAGCAGTCTCGAGCACAAAACCGCAAACGAAAAAGTACAAACGCTCGAATAGCGCCACCAAACAGTCGACAACGCAAGGGGCATCCTCAACTAGCAACGGTGTCCGTAAGGAGCGCTCCTTGCACTATTGCAGTATTTGCTCAAAGGGCTTTAAAGACAAGTACTCAGTTAACGTCCACATTCGCACGCATACGGGCGAAAAACCCTTCACCTGCAGCCTCTGCGGCAAAAGTTTCCGACAGAAGGCCCACCTCGCCAAACACTACCAAACACACATAGCCCAAAAGAACGCGGCGGCGTCCGGCGGCTCGTCAACCGCGAAAACGAAAACGAGGTAGCTTCAGCGTGTTCGTGCTAGCGCGCCGTTTCGGCCACCTCTCCACCCTCAGGCCGTAACACCCCCGCGCGTTCGGTTAGTACAAAACGAAGACCATCGAGCAAACTTCAACACAACGAAATCTATGAATGTATTTGTTCCTAAGTATATAATTTGTTTACGTGCTGTGATTTGTTTGTATTTTGGACTCATCGCCTAATATCATCAAAATTGCCCAAATTTTCTTGCCATTGCTGTATTATTTGTACGTAATTAAAAATTAGAATCCTTAATTTATTTATATATAATATTTCGAACTTCCGTTGTTATGTAAAGTAAAATATATTTTATTGTAGTTGATGCCTACAGGGTTGAACTTGAAAGTCACCCTCTGCGTATAGTAGATATATCTCTATGTGAATTGTTAGTTTCCAAGCTTATTAGTTCTAAGTTTTAGTGTACAACTACAGTTTTTACCATTTTAGTAAGGCATTATTAAATGACCAATAATTACCTACAAATACTCACCACGTTCATGAACCAAAATTGTGAGTTCAAGTAAGTTAATTTAACTATGCTCACAGCAAACGCAGGATTTGTCGAAAGCTTACGCTTGCTGGAGCATTGCCCCAATTGTTTTTTTTTTGTATTTATAGTCTATGTGAATGTTGACAACTTGTTTGTAATTTACGGACATAACCATTGTTATTTTGCTTATCATACGTATACTATTTTGTTATTTTCTAAATACCTTTATATACAAACGGCTTTGTTACTTGTTATTTAAAAGAAACCCACGTTTGTTACTTGCCATGGTTAAGGGGTTATACGTCATTAGATCTCAGCGAGTCTTTCAGAACAATGCTCTCTGTGTTTGCATGTCATATTTTATGTAAACCACTTCTACTGCCAACGTAAGTGTTCTCTCTTGTACAATGAAATACTCAAGTTTGTATTTGTCCACTACTAACGACCTTTAAGTAGGTTCTGCATCTACTGAAGTGATTTAAACTTTGCGAATATCGTATTTTATGTACTTATTGTATTTGATTATGTTTTCTGTATTATCGTATTTGATTTTATTAAAAGTATTTTTATATACCTATATTACCTATATTTTTGCATTTTATAATTTTATATTGTAATAATAAGTTTAAGTATCAATAAATAAACGTTTATGAACTTATTAATTCGACGGATTTTAACTCGTACAAACGGTACCCTCTATATAACACCATACTTCCAATAAAGTTCACATTTAACACTTAATATTTAATTTTTAGGGTTGAGATTGGGATCTATGCTTCCATTTCCAATCCATATAGACTATTAGGTCCTTCAATAAAAGTTGTGGTTGCGTCCTACTTTCCTCAATATGATTATCATCAAGAGAACCTTTCCTTTCCTTTATTCCACTGGTAGATGCTTTCATTTCCTAAATTATCAATGTGCCTCCCTTGTATTCCGAAGTTGTCACTCGGGCCTTTTTTCTTGGTGCTTCACTGCGACTAAAAAGGAAGCCGGCAAGTGGATAATACAGCTTTTACCAGTCAAAAAATTACTTTAATGCAATGCACTAAATCGAATTAACTTGACGCTTATTAATTCTATTCATTCAAGGTAAATAATGAACACGAGTTCAACTTATGATCATTGTAAATGGTTCTAACCCTTCTTTGGAAACCAAATTAATTCAATGCCCTAAAAAAGATGGACTTGAAGCTTATTCATTCGATTCATTCAAATTATATGGATACAACTTCGGTTCAAAATAAATTATAATTGGCGTAAATCCTTTTTTTGGAATTAAAATTATTTGAATTCGCTAAAAAAAATTATGAGACCGAGGCTCATTAAGTTACGGAAGTGCACAGGGGCCACATCAATTTGTTTATATTTTTTAGTGAATTTCTTGTAAGTTGAAATTTCGACTTGCACACGGAGTTTCGGTTTGCAACACGAAATTTTGACTGGAAACAGAAAATTTCGACTTACAACACGAAATTTCGACTTGCAACACGAAATGTCGACTTTCAACACGAAATTTCCACTTGCAACACAAAATTTCGACTTGCAATACGAAATTTCGACTTTCTGCACGAAATTTCGACTTGCAACACGAAATTTCGACTTGCAACACGAAATTTCGACTTTCAACACGAAATTTCGAGGACCTGCAACACGAAATTTTCACTTGCAACACGAAATTTCCACATGCAACACAAAATTTCGACTTGCAATACGAAATTTCGACTTTCTGCACGAAATTTCGACTTTCAATATGAAATTTTGGCTTTCTACTCGAAATTTCGGCTTACAACACGAAATTTCGACTTGCAACACGCAATTTCGACGACTTGCAACACGAAATTTCGACTTGAAACACAAAATTTCGACTTTCAACATGAAATTTCGACTTGCAACACGAAACTTCGACTTTCAATATGAAATTTTCGACTTTCTACATGAAATTTCGACGACTTACAACACGAAATTAAGACGAAATTTCGACTTTCAACATGACGTTTCCACTTGCAACACGAAATTTCGACTTGCAACACCAATTTTTGATTTGCAACCCGAAATTTCGACTTGCAACACAAAATTTCGACTTAAAATACCAATTTTCCACTTTCTACACGAAATTTCGACTTTCAACACGACATTTTGACCTGCTACACAAAATTTCGACTTACATACGAAATTTCGACTTGCAACATGAGATTTCGACTTGCAAGGCGAAATTTCGAAATTTTAACTAGCAACACGAAATTTCGACTTGCACCTTTCGACTTACAATACGAAATTTCGACTTGAAACAAGAAATTTAGACTTGCAACATGAAATTTCGACTTGCAACAGAAATTTTTGACTTGCAACACGAAATTTCGACTTGCAACACAAAATTGCGACTTGCAATACCAATTTTCCACTTTGTACACGAAATTTCGACTTTCAACACGAAATTTCGACTTGAAACCAGAAATTTAGACTTGCAACAGAAAATTTCGACGTACAACACGAAATTCGTCAAAAAATAAAAACAAACTGATGTGGCTCCTCTGCGTTTCCGTATTAATTCAATTCATTCAAGGGAAATAGACTCCACTTCAATCCAAAGTGGATAATAAATGACTCGATTTAAAAATAAAAACAATTTCCTTTACTGAAAAAAAATAATTAAAACATTTTTCACGAGGATTTTGAAACTTGGTTTTGGTGATCAATTTTACAAAATCTCTACAAAATAGGTAGCTTGACTGTGCGAATTGCGAAGAATAGAGTTAGATAAACGACCCAAGCCATGCTACTGCAATTCATGCTAATTACAACACTTTAGAACTAAGTATCTACAACTGAAGTGAAGTGATACTTTTTAATTATACTTGACTCCTCTATTTCATTACTCTTCTAGTCCACTGTCATAACTCAGTCTAACCTTTGAATATAAAATTTTCACAGTCTCAAGTACCTACTTAGTTGCTCTTCTTGGATCTGTTGGGCAAATAAATAAATAAATTAAAAATTAAAATATTCGTGTCTGAACCTCACTGCATGGTAATTTAGTAATTTTAATTGGGTCCAATTATAGCTATGGCTATAAAAACTACTTATCTTACCATAACGTTTCCCGTTTATAACTAACAATTGCTTTTATCACTTATCAAAAAAGTACCTGTACTACCTAACGTGTCATATCTGATCTCTATACGTCACCTGAACTTAAAGTAAATATGTGTATTTTATCTTTAAAATTACTCAAACTCGGCAAACAGTGTAGGAGTAGATAGTGACATTTTGTATTAGTACCTAATTAACTGGTAAATTAAAAAAAAAGTTACCCATCAAAATCGCATCAGTGTCTTGGAATCTGTATCTGCATCTAACCCAATCTAGTGAGTATATTAGTGCACCATTTTAATCGAGATTGACATTTTCCAGTTAAGTGAAAAGTGGAAAACTGTAGCACAAAGTTTTTTTTACTATACATACAGCAAATTCACTACCGTTTTTCTAAATTAAGATTCACATTTTTAGCCCAACTTGTACTGGATAATTAATTTCCCGACTGTGAATATGAATCCACCCATACCATCACTAAATTTTGGCCAGTGAATTTGATGTAAAAATATGACTTTTCTTTCTGTTTCATATCGGTTCTATTTTTACGCATTTAGACCTTGCCTTTTGCATATAAAATTTAGTTTTTAAAACTTTGTACTCTAAACCAACACCAATGGGACTTTTTTCTCATCATTAATTTTTGAAATGGCCAACACTTACCAAGGCCAAAGTATGATATAATGAACATAACAATTTTAAAAGTTTAAAATTATATAATAAATTGGGAGTAATTCGTTTAGGAATGATCCCACGCCGGTATACAAGGTTGACTTCCCTTATGGTACAAAAGGGCCTTAAAATACGTAAATTTGTGTCTGCGTATAGTATAGAATTTGTAAGATATATCACACTTACAACTCACAAGAGCTTTTTTTTGGTAATGTGCACAAATCTTTTGAAAATCGTATTTCAGTTAGTGGAAAATAATTGCTAATTTTAATTCATAAAAATCCAATAACTTGAAAAATAAATTTATAAAGTGGAAAGACAAGATTTTTTTGGAAATCCACCGGAGCTGTCTTCTCCTGATTTACTTTTGTTCATCTCTATTTTGTATATCTGGGACACTTTTTGATACCAAAATGAATCTCCGCACTTGTCACCACGAATTTTCCTCAATTAAGGCCATATATATGGTGAAAGTTGCTCTTAAACTTTTCAGTCAATGGTTTGGTTCCTCGTTAACGTTATCCATTACTTCATCCCAAACTAATTTTAAATCATAGGCTAACCATTTCCATACATCACATGACCTTTTAAATATAACGTGGCAACAACATTAACTTAATTTTTACTTAAATAATTGTCATTAATACAGGTGACTTCTATCAAGAAAACTCGAGTTCAAAACAAAACAATGAATAGGGCAGGAAATGTAAAACGAAAAAGTAATCCCAGACAGAATGCGAGCGCTCTCTCTGCAGCTACGTTTTTGTAAGTACCTAGACGGAGACATACAAATCAAAACAAAATAACTACAATTTACTTTTAGTTACACTTTACCAACATTTACCAACAAAAAGAATGGTAAACTACAATTCGATGAGGAGGATCTCTATGAGACGCTTTCTGAGTACCAATCAGAAGTTTTGGCTAATAAAATTGAAACCTTATGGAAGGAGGAGTACAAGAAACGAAAAGGGAAGGCTTCACTGACCAGGGTGATAATTTCAGCCTTTGGTTTTGAATATTTTGTGTTAACTGTAATCCTAGGGATCTCAGCATTAGTACTTAAGTATGGTCACAGTGACAGAAAGTTAACTAACCGTATATTTTAGGCCCGCGCAAGCTGTTTTTCTTGGCCGCTTACTCTTATATTACATGCCCGCTGCCGAAGGAGAGCCCCATGTAACTCAGCTTGAAGCGCGGTTATACGCAGCCGGAATCGCTTTAATGGCATTCTTGTATATATTATCGTTTCATCCACTACTAGTCCAATTATATTTGGTGGGTCTAAAAGTGAAGATAGCGTGCAGTTCTTTAATATACCGGAAGGCATTAAAATTGAGTGACGGGGCTTTTAATAGCACAAACGTAGGACAAATTGTTAATTTGATCGCATCTGATGCTCCAATGTTTATCAATTGCTCATTCTTGTTAAATTACTTGTGGATTGGTCCGTTGCAGTGTATCATTGTGACGTACCTGATGTATCAAGAGGTTGGGTTTTCGTCAATTTGTGGAATCGCCGTACTATTTCTGCTGATACCTATTCACCGTGAGTGTTCCAATTGGTTGTTGGAGCTCTCCAAGCTTTAATCAAGAAAGATATTTCGAGTGGACAGTTTTAGATTTTTTGGGTAAGGCTGCATCAACGTATCGATGGAAAGCGGCTTCACGTACCGATGGCAGAGTGTGCTACATGGATGAAATAATCTCGGGAATTAAAGTAATTAAAATGAACGGTTGGGAAAGGTTAATTAAACCAATTTTGCTCTCCCTTCGCAAGTAAGTGGGTGAATTATTTCAGAGTAGCTTAGATTTAAAGATTTTCAGCCTTGAAATCAAGTACATTCGGTTATCAATGTACCTAAAAGCCGCAAATGTATCCTTCGATATTCTAACAATACCAATCGTTATTTATGTGTCAACAGTTGTATACGTTTTACACAATCACATAAGAGCTGACAAAGTGTTTACAATGATGATATTCTACAACTCGCTGAGAGCAACCATGGCATCTACGTTCCCACACTCAGTTTCAGTACGTGCGCTGACCATGGTCGCGATAAAGCGCATTGAAAAGTTTCTATTTAACCCCGAGATCAATATGGAAAGCATTGAGGATACAACGGATCCAATTGCTATTAGAATTATCGATGGTCACGCGAAGTGGGGGGAAAGTCCCACCTTGGAAGGAGTTAACTTAGCAGTGAAACCCGCCAGCTTGGTTATTGTTACTGGACCAGTTGGCTGTGGGAAATCCAGTTTACTCAGTGTGATGCTGAAGGAACTACGTTTAGGCAGTGGAAGAATTCACATTAGCGGGCAAATCAGCTACTCGTCCCAAGACGCGTGGCTCTTCAGTTCAAGCATTCGAAATAATATCCTCTTCGGTGAACAGATGGATACCAAACGTTACAATGAAGTTGTGCGCGTTTGTGCGCTTGAAGATGACTTTGCGTCACTCCCGTTTGCTGACCAAACGATTGTGGGTGGACGAGGCTCTAGTTTAAGTGGGGGCCAAAAGGCGAGGATAAATTTGGCACGCGCTGTTTATCGAGATGCCGACATTTATCTACTGGACGAACCTTTTGCAGCTGTAGATGCGCGGGTTGGCAAACAGATATTTCAGGACTGCATTAAAGGATTTTTGAAGGGAAAAACCGTTGTGCTAGTTACTCACCAGCTGCAATATTTAAAATATGCCGACGAAATAGCTGCGATGGAAAATGGTACCATTACTTCACAAGGTCAGCTTGTAAGCTCTAACCAAGAGGGGATCGATGCCGAAATGAAGGAATTAAATTGCCAGGAGTTGGTAAACCATCACGCTCAAGACATCGTCAAAGAACATACGTCGGTGGGGTCTGTATCAAGTATTGTATATCGAAAATATGTGACAGCTAATGGATTTGGGAACTTTGTTGTTGTTGTGGTACTGTTTCTGGTGATGCAAGCAGTAATTAGCAGTGGCCCATACTTCTTAACTCATTGGTGAGTATATCACAATCCATAATCATCAACTGCTTTCAATTTTTTAGGGTGAACACGGTCCAAGTTGTAGAGCAATACACCAACGCCAGCAATTATTCATCTCATGCATTAGTGGACAACTCCCAAACCATGTACATTTATGTATATTCCGCGATAACAATCGCCAGTATTGTCATTGTTGCTTTACGCTCTTATCTATACTTCAACTTGGCATTGAAATCCTCCCAAAGGCTGCACAATAACATGTTCAATAAAGTTACTGGCGCGACCATGCACTTTTTTAACACAAACTCCCAAGGTAGAATCATCAATCGCTTTTCTCAGGATGTGAGCGCGGTGGACACTCTGCTGCCAAATGTTCTCATTGAAACTGTGCAGTTATTACTGGCATCCTTTGCTGCGGTTCTCCTCATATCTCTTGTAAACTACTGGCTTATCATACCAACACTCGCAATAGGTTTTATTTCCTATTGCTTAAAAAAATTCTGTTTGTTAACCACTAGAAATATCAAACGACTGGAAGGTGTAAGTAAGTCATACGTATACCTCCTTGGTAAGCAAATAATGTGCGATTTTTTCAGCTCGCAGTCCAGTTTTCGAACACTTAAGTTCGTCATTGCAAGGGCTGGGGACCATCAGAGCCCTTCAGGCTGAAACAATCTTGAGAGAAGAATTTGACTCGCATCAGGACTTACACAGCTGCTGTTATCACTTGTTCTTGTGCACGTCACACGGTTTCGGATATTTCTTAGACTGCTTATGTGCGATCTACATTGCAATCGTAACCTTTAGCTTCGTAATATCTGACAATGGTGAGCTTCATTCTAGAGTGCTTGCTACTTTTTAATGGTAGGTTTTAGACGCGCTTAGTGGAGACGTCGGATTGGCGATAACTCAATCAATAACGCTAATGGGATACCTCCAGTTGGCAGTTTTACAGACGGCAGAGCTCGAAAATAACATGACATCTGTAGAGCGCATTTTAGAGTACGATGATATCGAGCAAGAAGACAACGTCGGCACAGAACCGCCGAAGACATGGCCGGGAGCTGGCAGAATCCTTTTTTGCGACGTTTCCCTCCAGTATTCTACAAGTGGTGCTCCTGTTTTGAAAAATTTGAACTTCGAAATATTTCCAAGGGAGAAGGTTGGAATTATTGGGAGAACTGGCGCAGGCAAGTCGTCGATTGTCAATGCTCTTCTTCGGTTAAGTTACACATCCGGTGACGTTGTAGTAGACAATGTAAATATAAGAAGTTTAAGTTTAGAAGCGCTAAGGTCGAGAATTTCGGTGATTCCTCAAGATCCTACGTTGTTTTCAGGAACCTTACGACAGAACCTGGATCCGTTTGAAGAATACGAAGATACAGCCCTGTGGAAAGCTCTAGATGAAGTTGAATTGAAACAGTTCGTTGCATCCCAACCGCAAGGTTCACTCTCTTTGTGTTGATTACACTATATTTATTCCATAATTATTGCAGGATTGTGTCACGCAATTAGTCAAGGTGGGGCAAATGTTAGTGTAGGACAACGTCAACTGATATGTTTAACCCGCGCCATTTTGCGTAAAAATAGCATACTAATTATGGATGAAGCAACTGCAAATGTCGATTTTGAAACTGACAATTTAATACAGAGTACAATTAGGAAAAAATTTCAGAATTGCACCGTGCTCACCATAGCTCACAGGTTGCAAACGGTTATGGACTCTGATCGAATTCTGGTTATGAATGCTGGTGAATTGGTCGAGTTTGATAAGCCATCTGTTTTACTTAATAATACCAATGGTTACTTTTACAAAATTGTTCAACAACTACGCAAGAATGATTCAACAACTTTTCAAATGCTGCAATGAACCATCACTTCTTGGTTCTTGACGCATTTTGAATTTATTCCAAGGAAATCGGTGCATAGATATACCTATTTGGACAGATCTTGGAATTCTCTTTTTACTTTTCAGGTTGAACTTGCCGTTATTTTCAATAACTGACGCTAAATTTGTAGTATATGAATCGGTATTCGATTTATATTACCTACTTATTTTATTAAAACTCAAAAAAATTGTTTATTTGTTTTTTGTAACAAATAAATTAAGAACAAGAAAAGTGACTATTTTTGTCAAAACTAGAAAATCATTACGTTTCAGATACATCACAATTCGCATATGAGGTACGGACAGACATTATAAAGAGAATCGGAAATAGTTCACCAATCACAAGCCACTTAAAAGAGAATGGCAATGCCTAACGCTTCGTCCAAGAGCATTAAGTGTCCTATTGGGAGCAAATTTTCCGTCCGTTCGTCTGTCTCAAGCTACTTTTACATCTGAGCCAAGGAAATCCTGTTTTTACAGCCGTTAAGAAGTCTTAGTTTGAAATTATTTAAGGGTATTCAAGAGTCTTTCCGGCTTTGAATGTATAAAACGCTTTTAAGGGCATGAAGAACTTTCGGAGTATTATGGAATTTTGCAATATCTGCAAGAAACGCTTTCCAAAGTTTATTATTCTTTAAAAGTGATCAAGGGTAAAAGAAACTTCTTCCATTTCTTAAGCAGCTGGAAGGCCCACTTTTCCAGTAGGATAACGCCCGTCACCCCACATTGCAGGACGTTCTATGGATCGGCTTTCATAGCCGTCATGTCAAAATCTTGCCATGACCACCCAGATCTCGCCATAAATCACCCATCGATCATGTTTTGAACATTATGGGGGAGACGAGTGGGAAACCGCATCCCCCGCAGATGCTGCAAGCTCTACAGGACGAATTAGAAGTTGCTTAGGACACAAAAGCTCAAGAGGAAATCGAACGTGTACTAGAATCGATGCCACAAAGAGTGACAGAGTGTGTACTTAAACAATAAGGGGGGGAACAACTCATTATTAATAAAAATTATAATTATATTTTGTTCTTTTTTTTAAATTTTAATCAATTACCACCTTTTAGTGATAAAACGTTTCTGCCAAGTTTGGTAAAAAAATCCCCACTCCTTGGTGTTGCGATTTGGTATTGTATCCATCAATTTTCGGTAATTTGCCTATTTTTCATTTCTTTGACCTCAACATGCATTTTTTTCCGTGAGCAATATGTCCTAGGAGCGAATTGTACGGGTGCGAATTATCCGGGCGGGAATTATCCGGGCGCGAATTTTCCTGGTAGCGAATTATATCTTGAGAACAAATTGTTTGGCTGCGAATTATTCGGGAGCGAATTATCCGGGCGTGAATTGTCCTGGAGCGAATTGTCCTATAACATTTATGGGAACTTGATGTAGACTCTTTAAAAAAGCATTTAATTTGCTTTTGGTCTTTAAAGTCCTTAATGGTTTTTAATGCCCCTTAATGCCCTTCAAAAATAGTGAAACCCACTGCAATCATGTATCTTTCATTCTCCATATACATCTTAAAACATAAAACTTGAAATACGTGTCAAGTATAGGTAGGTACGCTTCACGTGGCAATAAAGCTACAGTCTATATATTTATACTGTTCTTTTTACAAAAAATTTGCATTTTTAAATTTAGTAACCTCGTGCAGGGGCGGAAAAGAATAACCCTATACCGCAGAAGACACTGCGTATCGTAAAAGGCGACTAAACAACTACTGTCGCCCCAGATGATACGAAGATCGATCTTTAGGCATAGAATTAGGACTTTATTGAATACTTAAAATATATGATTTCTGACATATTTTTACCCAAATGCTAGTGGAACTGCTCGTTTAGCCAAATGTTTGTGTATCTGCACTTATATATTATATTTCTTTTCTGATGGTAGAAACATAAATAAATGATTTTCGGTTACAAAGGTCCAGACCTATTGGATATAAGAGTTCCAGTTCCAAAAATGAGCAATTATTTCGTGCCACCTCTTATTTCGAAAGGCGCAAATCACATAGGTTATGGGTACACACAAAAAACGGGGTTAAAGCTTGGAAGATTAACATACTTACATCCCATTCGTATGTCTCAAACTGCTTTTACAGATTTTAAAATATTCACCTAACTTACGTTTGGCATCTGAGTCAAGAAAATCCACGCAGCCATGCTTTTAGATTCGTTAAGTCATCAGTTCTCAAGATAGTTTGAGAGTTTGAGACTATCTAGTAGTAGGTGGTGATTCTTGGAAGATAAGCCAAGCCTCGGAAATTTATTTCTGTAACTTCTTGTCTTATATCTTGCTATTTTTGACAGAACTTGCGGGGTGTGACTGTTTGGTATAGGAACTATTACCTATACCCATATTAGTAATGTAATAATCGTTACCTCTCCTATAGGGAGAGTCTTGGTAGATATTTGTGACGTTAGAAGTAGCAAAAAGAGAACACTAAAAGGAAAAAATTGTTAAGGGTGCAGAAGATGATTAGAGTGCGGTTATAACATACCGACACGAGGTATAAAAATGGAGCTTTGAAAGGCGGAAAAAATTGTTGCGAACGCAGAAAAAATGGCTACAGAGTATACCTAGTTGTAATACTATACTAAAGTACTTATTTAAACAATGACCCTACCTACCTGTACCTATACCTACTTGGCATTGGTGGTGCAAGATGTAAAGAAAGGGAACTTCTAAAACCTAAAAACAATTTGTTTGTGACGAAGAAGGGTTTACACTTAATAGAAAATAACTATGTAGAAGGTAGTTGTACGTAACACACCTATACTTGACATTGGTGGTGTAAGACGAACGGGAGCTCAAAAGATGAAAAAAATTCTTGGGGACGCAGAAGGGTTAAACTTGATGGATAATTATTTGAGGGTTGTCACATGCTTTTATTTGTCCTGGCATTGGTGACGTAAGAAGTACCTAGAGCAACGAGACTTTAAAAGATCGTCACGAGGGGTCTCTTGGGCCTTCTTAAAACTTTAAAGTCTTGAAAGCCTTTAACAGCACTTCAAAGTTTTACCTATTAGGTACTTAGTCTTCAGAGTCCTTCACGAGGTTTGTTTAAACGGTAACTATAGCAAATAAAAGCCTATTAGAGTCACTAATTTTTTTCGCTCCAATAGTTTTTAATAGTACCTACTTATCCGCAGTGACCATTAGGAGCCTCTATTAACAGCCATCTTAACGGTTGGTAAAAGATCTAAATATCACTTTATGCCCAATTTTTGAGAGTCATACGCGGTTTTTAAGTGTGTTTATAACGTGGGCGGCTTTCTGGAGTAAACACAAACAGATTTACTTAAACGCTTTTAGAGCCTTTGAAAGCCTTTGATCATAATTATATGGGCAGTGGCGGATTTAGGATTTTGTCTAGGGAGGGGCGCATACACCTCTTAAAAAATATATTTAAAAAAACATTTATTATACCATAGTATAATATTATGTTTAAGACGTAAAAAACATTTTTGGCATAGTACGTAATATATTGAACAAATTATTATAATAAAATAAGAAAAGAACAAGCCAGCAAATTTCTAAATGACAAATTCCAGCTTTCTGTAGGTATGTGCAAATCGATTTTTTTCCACTTTCCACGAAATTTGTCCATTAAGTATCCTTGCACGATTAGAGCATTGTGCGCGAGTACACCATCTTGTTGAAACCAACAGTTTCCCACTTTTGTGTGCCGTACATCGTATTATTCGTAATAAAAAATGCTATTCAATATAGTTTCTACTTTTTTTACGGGCCATACAAAAAAATAAAGCTGTTAATGATTTCTCCGAAACGAAACGTCTCAACGGTGTCTTGTAAAAAAATAAGCAATGAGAAAACGTTTTTTTGTATCTGTTAAAATACCATCAGAAAAAAACTAAATCCGCAAATTTATTGTCTCTAATTTGACCATCTTCATATCTTCTATGGTTTCCGAAATCTCCATGACAGACACCCTTATCTGGGACAGTGTATAGCTGCATACCTATTTAAGTTTAAATTTTATAATTTTTTTCACTAATACGATGTTGTAGGTCAGTTATTAAATGATCAAGTAATTGTCTAGGAGGGGGCGCCCGCCCCCTGTGCCTCCCTTTAAGTCCACGCCTGTATATGGGCCTCTGAATGTTTTCAAGGATCTCGACTATAATAAGGAACTTTGAGACCGTTTAATTTACTTTTGGACCCTTTGAATGGTCTCTTAGTTGTCTGTGCTTATAGTAATACTTAATTCGCCAAAAATAGTGGAACCAACTGTCATGTATCCTTTATTACAGATTGCCGGTCACAGCACACCTTATGTCGATCTACAATCTATGGTTTTCTTAAGATGCAAGCGACTTCCGGAATATAGGATCGTGTTAAACGCAAAGTCTTTTTGTGCAACATTGACAGGATACTATCAAAGAGTATAGTGGGCTTTTGATACTATCCCGGAAGGCTCTCGCATCTTAAAAAACTCCGTGTAGGGGCGGGAAAGAATACCCCTACCGCAGAAGACACTGCGTGTCGTAAAAGGCGACTAAACAACTGCCACCCTAGATACCGCGAAGATCGATCTTTATGCGTAGAAATTAATGGTTTGTGTGCCAAAAGTAGGTAAATGATTTTTGACATATTTTTACCAATTTAAGTGATCTATCTAAGTGCTTTTTAAATTGACAACCACCAAATGTTTATGCAGTTGCGATATTTCCTTTCTGGTAGTAGAGAAGCACATAAATAAATGATCTTATATTATAAGTGTCCGGGTGCATTGGATATAATAGTTTTAGTTCCAAAAATGCACATTTATGAGATGATTTTCGTGGTTTATTAACGGAATTAAGACTAACAAGCAGTGATATCGAGATTGTGTCAAAACTAGGTTGTTAATTTGAACCTACTTTATCATGATCACAAATTAGTTCTCATGAAATGTATAACAATTTGCAGTGGCGTATTATAACGGCCAACAACGCCCTAAGCCCTAACGGATTTTGCGCCACATATCAGATTTTTTAATAGTCAATAATAAACCAACTTTTACGAAATTATCAAGACAAATAAAATTAAAGTAAGTACATTTACATAGAAAACAAAGCGTACTGTAACATAAATTTAGGTAATTAAGTGGTTTATTAATTACCTAATTAACAATAAATTTATGACAGTCTTGAAATGAATATTTAGTTAAAATATTATTTGTCACTTAAATATACACAACTTAACACCGCGAACTATTTACTACTTCGGCGTTGAATTTGGAACTGACTGAAACACAATTCGATTTGCTTATATAGCATACACCCCTGATTCTCAAAAGTTTTCGAACGCTTCCAAACCAGTATTCTAGAAAGTTCTCGAACAAAGACGTCATATTTCCAGGAAAGAATGCGTCACTAAATACAAACGGTCACATTCGCTTTCGTTTCTTATCGCCGATGACTACTAATCTTTTATGGCGCTTCTATGTCTATCGGGATTTCTAAAATATTCGCTATGTACTTAAACTTTCCCCTTTTCAAACAAATGGAGAGAAATTATTGTATTCAGAGTTCAGACAGTATAATATAATATACCAGTACCTACGTGGTTATACAGGGTGTCCGGGATGGAGCTATATAAAAGTTTCAATTTTAAAAGACATAAAGATCTGCAAATTTCGGGATCAAGATAACGGGTCATAAAAATTGCATTTTAGATGGTTTAGAACTTTCATACACTGAGGAGTTGTGTTAGGGGGTGAGCCCCAAAATTTTTAAATTGCAGCCCTTGTCCAGTTTCACCAGAAACACGTTCTCGATCTTATACCTACCGCTCGATTGTTTTCTTGTGATGGGGGTTTGCAAAAAAAAGAGTGTATGAAACAAATCTAGAAACAATAAAATGAGTCGAAAAAACCAGCAATATCACTAGGGATCTGCTTCAAAAGGTTCAAAATTCTAACTATGTTTTGGGACTGTGTTTCTTCAAAATAATTGGTGAAACGCACCCCCTACAAAAACTGTAGTTATGTTACTTATTATGCAGGTATATTGTGGTTCAGAGGTCTCAATTATCGGAGTGGTACTGCTGGATAACCGGCTTGCATGGATTGGGGATGCTCTTTCCATCTATGAGCGTGCTAGACTGCTACGTATCTTGTCTCGCGCCCCTGCCTTGCGATACATTGATTTTTGTTGAGCATTTTTGATTTTTCAGATAGTGTTTTGTTCGCTCTTTTTTTTGCGCCCCTAAAATTCCAACGCCCTAAGCCCGAGCTTTGTCGGCTTATAGATTTATACGCCACTGGCAATTTGTGTTTTTCAGGAATCGTCCAGGTCTTTTTAGTTTGATAAATAGATTTACTAAGGTCCATGGTTTTTAACGCAAAATTGATAGGAGGTTTGATCTGATATAGATGTATATCGGATTTTTGGATACAAGACAATTACGTTTACTTACCAACCAGTATATCTTAATAGTAGAATTTGATCTGTGCATATCAGAGACTTGCTATAACTAGACTGCGCTTAACGTATCTAAGGTGTTGTCGACACAGTATGCAACACACAATGCACCGCGGGGCAAAAATCGCTGAGATGATATGCCATATAATGAAATAAGCTGTTATTTTAGATGTTCCGTTCATTAATCATTCTCGTGATTAGCTCGAATTAGTGAACAGATAAATTTCTGTTGAGAATAAACCAATAAACTTAGGTTAGCTTGTGCCTATCAACATGTACTCTGTCGATAAATTTTTAAATAATATGCTGATTTTCAACGGATAAAAGTTTAAAGGGCCAATCGATCAGAGCCATTCGATAAGAAAAATTTACTCCCACCATAGTGCATTTGCGGGGAATGAAGCCGATTTTAGAAAGGTACCTACGAAGGTGTTAAACAGTAATGCAATAGGTACCGAGCGTTTTCGACTTTCCCATTCACTTAAAATAACGTAGAACTATTATTCGACATCCTTTACCAGCAAGACAACGGGAATACCTATTTGCCTATTAGGTATAGACGTAACTAAGTACTTACTGGTACTAAGTATATTTCAGGTTTTGTTACAAGAAAAATAGCTAAGTCTGTTAAATGTTCCATATGTGCAGATGCGATATCCGCATCAGAGAGTCATTCAAAGCTTTTAACTAGAAAAAATCGTGGAGGATTGTTGCACGTATCAAGCGATGCATTAAAAATTTGCCAAATTGCTGAAAATGTGTTCAGGTTTTTCATTCAATCCACACCACACCGTAAGGCAGTTATATACCAATTTAGTTCAAATAAAATACCAATAAATTCGATTAAAACAGTTAACAGTTATATGTTATCTTTTTTTGCTACTAAAATTTAGAATTAACATGCAAGCTGCAGAACGTACGTCTGCCCCGCGATGAACAGTTGGTTGCCTATCCTATCTTGACAACAGGCGTTTATAGTAAAATCTACGTTACGCGCGGTCTAGTTATAACAAGTCTCTGGTGCATATAGATTTCTAAAAAACAATGTCTGTATTGTGTATGCATAATGCAAACAACTGAATTTGTACCGCTTTTGGGAAATCTTGTTTTCTTGGAGGGTACATACGCTCGGGTGTTGGCGGCTGCGCCGCCTCTCCTCGCGCGCCCGGTGAACTCCATACTGATTTCATCACACATAAACGATTTAGGCAGACAGAAAAGACATATACATAACAATCGTCTTTATTTATATAGATATTGAAAAAATACACATAAAATTAAATTCCTCTTTTAATCGGTTTCGGTGCAACACTGATCTTCTGTGGCTTACAGAGGTGCAGTATACTTGATGAATCGTTGAACTTCTTCTTCGCTATATCAGCTTCTGGTACCGATAACGCAATACTTATATCAACATTACACGCCTCGGACCAAACCTGGTGAGATATAAGGACGGTGGTCAACAGTCTCAGATTATGCCCACTGTGCGAATCTGCAACGGACAGACTTAGAGAAAGACTATTCGCATAGTGCTACTCACCTTGTTTGTCATTGTCGAAAAATAGCGGCTTTAAATGCGCAGGACGCGGTAAAACAACGTGGGTCCGCTGATCGGGGTACTTAATAATCAATCTTAACCTACTGGGATCGGACAGGTTGAATAGTTCCGCTTCCAATGGAACCGCCATCGTAAGTCCGGCTGTGAATTTTAAAGTGGAGTCCGTCTGGTTGCTCGGCTCGATTATTACCGCCGAGCTCATGCGAACCTGCGCGAAAACTGTTGCGGAATGTGATTAATGATGGCGAACTTACCTGGGAGTTCGGTACTGGGATTTTGGCCAACTTTGACTCCGACAGAATGGGTATGAGGAGGCGGGCCACAGCGCCCGGTTTTGGTTCCTCTAATACTGATAGCTCTTTAAAAACACTGCTGGCGAATGAGTCCGGTTCCAAGCCGTGCATTACTAGCTCCCTTTGCATTTCCTCAACAGCTCCGAGGAAGTGATGGCACGGAGCAAGAGCAGACGAATTACTAGCTACGGTAGATTTGTAATAATATACGGGGAGCAATCAAGTTACCTTTCACAATGAAGATCAGGTTTAGAGCCAGAGCTCTGAGACGGAATTGCTTGATGCTGCACTGCTCGTTGGCGGCAAGACCGACGAAGAGGTATTGCATCTTCAAGCAGTTTTCGAGTAATTGATCGATATTAGTTTTGAGAATGTTGGCCTGTTGCGTCGCTAGGGTGCTCGGATTCTTCCACAGGCCCTTTTCGAATATCTGCGCGTAAAGTAATTGCGCTCCAATGTACAGGGAAGTAAACTGCGCAATACCGGCGATGGACGAATCCATTTCACTGAGGCGGTTCAGGTGCTCTTTCGCCATTTGCAATAAATTTGTTTGTACCCTACTAAAAACGTAAGAGACTGCCTTACAAAGTGTCGAGTTACCTGTAGGAGACCTCGCTGGCATTCAGACTGTTGACGATGGTTTTCAGAAAATCGAAACTTTCGGGTACCGAAGCGGGTTTTATTATTGTGTTGCCGGTACCTTCGGAGAGCCTCAATTCTGGTACGAAATTCGGCATGGTATCTCGCAGATAGGCGTAGTGACGTAACGTGTGAGGTTCCAGGAGGGGGCTGATTGTCGGCGAGTACTTGGCGGCGTTTAAAATCAGGATTAGAATGCAAATATCTAAACTTTTAAGAAAAATACTTCAAATCAGTTCAATCAAAAGGTGGTCAACCAAATTGTTTGTCGTGGTGAATCTGAATTTAGAACCAATGAACGAAGAGCTAGAGAAAAGGGCTACTGCAACTATGGGAAGGATACATTGTGGATTATCGACATCAGGTTCAGACGTGTCGAAAAACGGATGAATACACAACAACGGTGGAATCAGCGGTAGAACCAATTCGGGGTGTTGCGCCCCAACCTTCTGCAAGCATCTGTACGTCGAGCGTTTGTCTTGCGGATACTTCTTCAAGTTATCCAGCAGCTTTTCTATGCACATTTTCAAACCACCGGTTGTAGACATGCGACACGACGCGAGCATTTGATGGAGGCCCTCGCGTACGTCCTGCGAAAAGTCTTCCAATGCGCCTAGTATCGTCTCCAATTGGTCGTCGCGCAAAATAATGTGCTCGGAAATTCTTCTCAGACTGTCGATGGCCATCAGCCGGACTTCTTCGATTTCGTCGTTAAACATGTCCACTAAGAAATCCAGTGAGAGGTTTGCGAAGTCTGGGTTTTTCATCGCCAATTGGCAAAGGGATTCGACTGCTGCCGTTCTCACCTCTACAATCATATCAAGTTGGCCATTAAGAAACTGTATAGACGCTCGCTCTTTGTTTAAGTAAATTATTCGCCGATGATGATCAGCAGAATAAAGATGGGCTGTATAATTTAGTTTTTCAAAGAACGTGACCATCGAGGTTATAGACTAGAAACCAATTTCGAAAGAAAATTCAAAGGGC